GGGGATTCTGGGTCCTGGAAGTGGACAGTGTGTATAGAGTTGGGGGCTGAGAGTCAAGCTCCATGGGAGAGCGCTTGCTTGAGTCCTGGCTCACTCCTCAGCTTACACAGAAAAGAAAAGTCTGTTTTCTATGTTTTCTAAATGTTATCTGTGTGTGAGTGTGTGGACAAGTGTGTGAGTGCCTTTGGAGGCCAAAAAAAGGGTCCCTGGAGCTGGAGTCCCGGGTAGTTGTGAGCTGCCAGTGTGGGTCCTGGGAGTCAGACTCAGGTCCTCTTAGAACAGCAAGCACTCAGCCACTAAGCCAGATCTCCAGCCCCAAATATGACTTCTTTGTTATTGCTGGGGTTTTTTTGTTGTTTGAGACAGTATCTCCATGTAACCCTAGCTGTCCTGGGACTCAATATGTAAATTAGGCTAGCCTCTAACTCACAGCTGCCACCCCTTTCCCCGCCCCAAGTAATAGAATTAAAGGTGTGTATTACCATGCCAAGCCTTCAAATATGTACTTTTAAAAAGTGTTATACCTACATTTGAAAAGTACTGCAAGGTGCTAAGACAGCAATTCTCTCTCTCTCTCTCTCTCTCTCTCTCTCTCTCTCTCTTTCTCTCTCTCTTTCTATCTTTTCCCTCTGTGTGGTTGTGTGTGTGTGTGTGTGTGTGTGTGTGTGTGTGTGTGTGTGTGTATGTGTAGTTTTCACAATAAAGGTTAAGAATACATAAACTAGGTGTGGTGGCACACACCTTTAATCCCAGCACTTGGGATGCAGAGGCAGGGAGATCGCTGAGTTCAAAGCCAGCCTCATCTACAGAGCCAGTTCCAGGATGCCAGGACTACATAAAGAAACCTTGTCTCAAACAACAAACATATGTATAGAATCGCTTTTTAAAATCACAGAGTTTCATCTATAAAATAAAGATATAAACTTTATTTAAAAATAGACCTTTTAAGCTGTTTTCTGTAGTACATTACCACTGAGTTCTGAGATTGGCTTGAGTCCAGCAGGAGAGAGATGGCTTCCGCCATCTCAGAAACTGCTGATGCAGGATTATGTGAGATTCTTCATACCTGATTCATCATCAGACTCTTCCCTTTATCATGCGACTTTTCCTGGGTGGGGGGAAAAGTTAGATTCAAGATGGCCATGGTCATAGCCAAATGGAGAAAACAGCTGCACATTACAGGCTTAGCCTTCTTGAATGGACAGTGTCTGAGGTGATTTTCCATTTCTTCTGTGTTTATTCTTACTCTGCCATAATAAACAGCACCCTTTCCTCCACTTGATATCACTATGGACTCCTAGATCCCCACTATTACCTCAGTGTAAGGCAAAGAACTGTGGCCTGTTTTATGTGTACAGTGTTTTGCTTAATGTATGTTGTAAGTTGCCACGTGAGTGCTGTGAACCCGGGTCCTCTTGAAGTACTCTGACCTGTTTAGCCATCTCTCCATTTTATTTTAAACCACTTTGTATGATTGACATTCGAACCATTTCAGTGTGTACAATTTGATGAGTTTGGGGATAAGTATGCCCTCATGAAACTCTCACCACCATCAGGGTAATAGACATATCCTGTTTTCTTTTTTTTTTTTTTTAAAAAGATTTATTTATTATGTATACAGTGTTCTGCCTACATGTTTGCCTGCAGGCCAGAAGAGGGCACCAGACCTCATTACAGATGGTTGTGAGCCACCATGTGGTTGCTGGAAATTGAACTCAGGACCTTTGGAAGAACAGCCAGTGCTCTTAACCGCTGAGCCGTCTCTCCAGCCCCCCATATCCTCTGTTTTCTAAAGTCCACTCCCACCGCTTCATTATTACTGTGGCTTGGGTGTGGGTGGTCAAGTCACTTAGTGTCAGGTGTGTTTAAGTACATGACACAGCTGTTAGCTGTGGTCCCCATGCTTTAAAGTGCAATGCCAGAACTCCATTCCACAGCTGAGTGTTGGTACCCTTGAACATCACTGCCCCTAGACAAACACCGTCCTACTCTGTTTTAGGGTTTGTTTTAGAGTCCATGGAAAGGTGAGGTGTAGTGTCTGTCTGGCTTAGTTCACTCTGCAGGATGTCATCATCTCATCCATGTGGAAACAGATGACAGGACTCTTCTCTCAGAGAAGGCTAGGTGTGCGTGCAGACCATGTTCTCTATCCATTCACCCATCCGTGGACACTCAGGCTTTGGTGGGTGCTGCTGCAGTGAGCATGTGAGTGCTGGGTCTGGCACTCCGACCTCAGTTCCAGCAGCGGGCTTACTACCCGCTATGGCATTTCTATTTCTATTGTTAGTTTTTTGAGGAACTTCCCCACTGTTTTGCATAATGGCTGTACCAATTTTCATCCCATCCATACAGTACAAGGACTCCCTTTTATCCACACCCTTCTGTCACTTGTTACATTCTATTTTAGCAGTAACCATACTGACCGGTGTGAGGCGATGTCTCAATATGGTTTTGATTTGCATTCGCCTCGTAATTAGTGATAAGGAGCCTTTCCACGGTCCTGTTGGCCATTTTATATCTACTTTGGAGGAAAATTTCTTCAGATCCTTTGTCCGGGTTTGTTTTTTTAATCAAGTTTTGGGGTTCTTTGTTTTTTCTGTTTAGTTGTATGAGTTCCTTATGTATTTTGCGTATTAACCCCATGTAAGATACAGGATTTACAAATGCCTTCACCCATCCTAAAAGCTGCCTTCCTACTTTTTGTTTTGTTTTGTTTTGTTTTTTGAGACAGGGTTTCTCTGTGTAGTTTTGCGCCTTTCCTGGAACTCACTTGGTAGCCCAGGCTGGCCTCGAACTCAGAGATCTGCCTGCCTCTGCCTCCTGAGTGCTGGGATTAAAGGCGTGCGCCACCACCGCCCCGGCGCCTTCCTACATTTTATTATTTGATGTGTGCATGTGGTGGTCAGAGGAAAACTCAAAGGAATCAGTTCCTCCTCCCTTGTAGGTAGGTACGGAGGACTGGCCTCAGTCACCTTGGAGTGAGCATCCTTACCCACTAAGCTATCTTGCTAGCCCCTGAAGGCTGCCTTATTATGCTGTTGTTTCCTTGTGGAATTGGCTCCATGCTGTCCCACTCGTTTACTGTTTCATTTGCTCTCTTTGCTTGGGATTCGTATCCAAGGTCATTGCCAAGACCAGAGTCACACAGCCTTTCCCCATGTTTTCCTCCAGACCCACAGTGTCAGGCTTACTAAGTCTGATCAGTTGGGAGTTGGTTTTTATGTGTGTCTAATTTTTGCCTTTCAGCATGTGGTTATCCAGTTTCCCCAGCACAGCTTATTGAAGACACAATGATTCCCCCATTGTCTGTTCTTTGCACCCTGTGGAAGTCTTGTGCTACGACCCTTCTGCTCAGATGACTGCCACTGTGATGGACTCTCAGGGGTGTGAAACCCTGGCTTTGTTTTTCTCAAGGTCACTTGGTTCTTTGTGGTCTTCTGTGCTATTAATGAGTTCTTGGTTCTTGTTTTGTTTTTCCCTGTTTCTGTGGGAAGGAAATACCATTGGTAGAGATTGCATTGGGGATGGTAGGAATGTGGCACTTGAGACAGTTTAGGACATAGTCTTTTGTCTGATGTACGTGTGTCTACCCCATTCCCCTTTCATTATCATTAGGTGGACTGACTTTCCATTCCTTCACTTCCCACTTCTGCTTGTATGTATAACTGTAAAGTGAGTCCTTGGTGAGCGACAGTTGGATCTTGGGGAGGTGAGGAGGGTTGTTCCCATCTACCCACCTATGTCTTTTGATGGAGAAGTTAAATTTTTTATATTATTGTGGCTAGGAATATGGCATCTTGAGGGTTTTCTCGATAACAACTCACTTGCATGCATCTCAGGTTTCAGTTCCCAGAACTATAAAAATAATGAAAAGTCAAGTTAATTTTTGCTAAGGAAGGCTATTACTGTTTTGCTGTCTTCTGCTTCAGGGTCCCTGGTTCTTTCTTCCTCTGTTGCTGTTTTTTTTAATGAGTGTTTTGTACTAGTGTGCTTTGATTCCTTTCTCTTTACTTTTCTGTATCCAT